ATTTCAATCGATATCTCTAAGCATTAGTTACGTTAATCGAGTGGACCGCGATCATGTACTAGTAGTAGAATGCACTGACTAACACGACTCAGTTCAATAGCCAATGGCCTCACAGCCTGATATTATGTTTTGGATGAAATTCGAACCACATATGACAGGCAAATATTATATATATATATATATATATATATATATATATATATATATATATACTCTCGAAAATACTGAATATTTCTGTTAAGGTGAGTTTATAGAAGTAATCACACAAGATGAAGAATGACAGGGTATACAATATTTTCGAGAATAAAATGTTTGAGGATTAGAAAATGCCAAAAAATTTGAGAAAGAAGCTATTTTCCAAACACCGGTAATTCTGACAGTTTACGTTTTGCTGTTGAAATATGTTCATTCAAACGTTTTCTAGATTAAAACAGCCAAAAATTTTGTAAATAAAAGAAGACTTGAAATCAAAACACAACCGAAGGCAGTATACGAATGCTACTTGATATATTCAATCGATTAATTACTGATACAATTTTCGGAATAAAAATTGTTTACAGACATGAATCTAGTCATTCTATAAGAGACTTACATCAGCTGAAGAGCTATCGATGAATACGAAGCGATAAACATCAGTTTTGTTAAATTTTCAGACTCCTTAGTCGTGTGCACTCGCAACCGTACTTATGACTGGCTATACGAACTTGAGATTTGCGACGATGAGGATACCTTTAAGATACTGGATAAGGTGAGGACCCTTGAATAGTTTTAAATTAAAACCTAACAGCCAATCAGCAGTCCCTGATTTCAGTCACTTTGTAACAAAAAGTAACTTCAAAAGGAGAAGTCTGTACACAGAATCTTAATAATCGAAATATGCAAATTACATTTAGGTCGAACCGTAAGATAGTGTACATAAGGAATGATATACAAGTTTCTGAGCCAAACAATAAATTAGCCCTATTGTGTGAAGGTTACTCATATCATTAGGCTTTAGAAAGTTCTGCAAACTTAGGACATGATCTAAATTCATTTCTTACTGCTTAACAACAGTCATGTAACATAACCTATTATCAAAAGTACTTTGAAGGAATACTTGGCTGACGGAACTACTGTGGTGAGTGAGTGGTCACAAGTGTATTTTACTCATGTAACTGAGCTTTAAACCTCACACATTCGTACGATTTCTGATTGACCCCGTTGTATAGGAAAGAGAGAGAGAGCTACTAGCTACATGACTGAAAGACATTATTGAGAAATCGAAACTATCAGTTATGAACAATGTATTCAACTAGGTTAGCATGATTTTATATATTGAAAATGTTTAAACAACGATCACCATATTACAAAATAACACCAAGTTAAAATCCCTTCTACTTCACTGACACTTTTTTATTTCAGCAAAATTAACATTGAATTAGAACTAAACAAATATGACATTGATCATTGCTTAATGATTGGTTAATTGTAAATATCTCAGTCCGACAGAATGTTCATTATTACCTGAAGAGAACACAGTGGTAATGTCTTAGAATGGTGAAAGTGGGTGATCCATATTCAAATCCACTAGGGAATATCAATTACCCAAATGATGTAGATATATCTTGCTGATAAGTGTCAGCCAGCACGTGATTTAGGCCTAAGATTTCTTGTCGACAATCTCTAATCACCTGACATCAATATATGTTTTATTCAAAACATAGGATTATGCAATACATATACTAGTTATGAGTATACCTTTAACCGAATCAATTGATGCAAAAAAGCACGTTTAACTCTCAATAATCAAGTAATTTGATATCCAACTACTGAACCGTTGTGTCGCATTTATATTGCATAATCTAGTTACATTACTTATGAGCAACTTATTTTATTTCACAATTGTCTCGTCTGCATCTAACTGGTTAGTTAAAAACTAGAACAGTTTTTATTTGTTAATGTTCGATCATTCTGAACTGGTTACTTTTTGCGTTATTTATGCCAGATGTCTACTGACTGTTGCCGGTTTTATCAACTCAAAATTAAGATTAAAACATAAACTAATCTTTTCTAGATGTCCTGTTTTCTGAGCTAGATAGTTTAATTGTGAAGCCTTCAAAAAATAAATTCTGATGTCTGGAAAGACAATGAAAACTTCACGACTAACTATTTAGCCCAGAAAATACAATGCCCCCAAATCCTTACCGTGAACTACAAATATTGTCCAACCTTAATGAATGAAGAACTGTACAAATATCTAAGTAAGTACACTGAGTAACTAAACTAGTCTTTTGATTGTGTAAAGAATAAATTCATATATAAGCTTGTTCTGTCAAGGTAGATAAGATGTTAGCAGGATTAATACAATTGACTGAATAGTTGAGGGGGATGAGAAATAGAGGCATGATAAGATTCAACATAAAATTAATCTTTAAATGTGATTGGGCGTTAATAAATACGAAGTATTTTGCCCCAAATGCCCTGGTACGGCCGAGAGTGGGGAGAGTCCGCTCTCCCTCTCCAAATGCTCTCACATGACCACGCGTACATAGCCTCTGCCAGGGAAGTCCTACTCACTGCCTTCACGTGGCACAGGTGTTGTTTACGAAAATGAGAGGACGAAAAGCGAATGTCCGGTGCTTTAACCGGATCCCAAACCAATGGTGCACATGGGCTAGCTCCAGTATCCTGAAGGAACAAATGGCGTATGAACCGATCTTTGGTCACCGGCTACCATGGGACTGCATCTCCTCATGATGCTCCACTGCCTTGTGGGTCAGACGTTCAGGTCAAAGGCTCGGGGTGTGGCCCCCTAAGAAAACCACCTGCTTCGGTTCGGGCACCCGGGCAGTATCACAGCCCTCACACAAATCAATTGGGATTCGTGTGGCGCATATGTATTTAGTGCCTCCTCGTACCAATACTTATGTGTTGAAATAAATAAATAATAAATAAGTATTTTGTTTACAGTTGTACACATGAAATATAAACAACTCACATAGCCGGCTGGTAGGTTTACCGGTTGATTTTCATCAACCACTTGTGTAAATGCTTCAATAAATCTCTGAATAATTGTTGGCTCTAATTGTACACCTTGTGCTTGTATTAAAGGGAAACGTAGTTTACTGCGTAACTCATCTAAATTTGATGCTGGCAATCTTGAAATAATAAATTGGAAATAATATTAGAAGAATTATGATTGATCTCATCAGTATAAAGTCTACTGAAAATGCAAAGCGACATTTTTATTGTTTTTGTTAAAATTTTTGTAGTTCACGAAAGTTATGACGCTTAGGATTATTAAAACATTAATCAGTCACCAAACATAGAAATCAAGTGTTCAAACGTTATAAATCACACGAAACTCAACGGTGGAAATGATTAACAATGAACATGTTGAGCTAAATTAATTAAAGAAATGATATACAAAATATGGTTTTATTATGTTTTGAGTCAAATATTCAAAAGAGCATGAATTTGGATGCCACTCAGGAAAAAACATTATAATGATTAACTTGAGAGTAAGAATCGGGGAATATAAGGAATTGAAGAAATTCGATTATGAACAAGGTGATTTCGAGTACTATCAAAAGTATCAGAGTAGTTGCTATTGATCGGTTACCCACATGATAGAAAGATACTCCTTCTTAAGGGACTGGGACAAGGATGATTTCAAAGAACTGGTTAAGGCTGGTCAACCATGGTCTTTTTATGAGTAATTCTTGATGCACTAGCTCTCCACTTTTCAAACCTTACTCCTGGTGACGGAAATACGTGAGGCAAGATCAGGTTTGTTATTTCCAAGGTTGGCCTCTCATAACTCCCCATTCAGCAAGACAGTGGTTTAGTGAGGTTACGGCGTTTGACTTTCAGACACAAACTCCCAAGTTGGGACCCCGATTCACTCCATTCGTTTCGAGCGAACGGGTAGTATCATTAGCCTTTAGACTAAGTGTGGCTAATATCCAAAAGTACCTGGTGAATGATTTATTTACATAAACTCACTCTATCTGCTATCAGAAAACACAATCATTGGATATGACTGTTGTCTAAAGGAAACTTCTTACTGCGATTCCACTTCTGTGAAGCTGCCAGTATAGCTTTGCCCTAAAAAGTTCAGTTTGGTGCCTTTAGTCTTACTAAATTCCTCCAACTGGTCTGGTTAATACGACAAATGACCCAAATGCCCTGGTACGGCCGAGAGTGGGGAGAGTCCGCTCTCCCTCTCCAAATGCTCTCACATGGCCACGCGTACATAGCCTCTGCCAGGGAAGTCCTACTCACTGCCTTCACGTGGCACAGGTGTTGTTTACGAAAATGAGAGGACGGAAAGCGAATGTCCGGTGCTTTAACCGGATCCCAAACCAATGGTGCACATGGGCTAGCTCCAGTATCCTGAAGGAACAAATGGCGTATGAACCGATCTTTGGTCACCGGCTACCATGGGACTGCATCTCCTCACGATGCTCCACTGCCTTGTGGGTCAGACGTTCAGGTCGAAGGCTCGGGGTGTGGCCCCCTAAGAAAACCACCTGCTTCGGTTTGGGCACCCGAGCAGTATCACAGCCCTCACACAAATCAATTGAGATTCGTGTGGCGCATATGTATTTGGTGCCTCCTTGTACCAATACCTATGTGTTAAAATAAATAATAATAATAATAATACGACAAGATGTAAATGAATGTGTTTTAGCCAACTACCTCAACTGGGTCATTACGATGAACAAGTCAGACAACCACATCAAGGAAGCAGCTATGGCCTGGAAATTGTTCAACGCTATACAACTGAAAGGAAGTGACTTTGACTTTTATTCACCAATAGGAGACTGGAATAAATTAAAACCCCTAGGTTAACAACTTTCTGAAGATAACTTTAAAAGTATGAAAATGGGTCACTTCAGGTTGATTGAATCAATGCTGATACTAGATTCAATTAATCCATTAACCATGTGACCAGAAAATTACTAATCAAAACAAATACAGTGACAGCTTACTTACAATGTACATTTATTATTACTCACCCAAAACTAAGCAAACACACTCCTGTATCTGTACGTATAAATCTCACTGTAACAATTGTTTGCACACCGAGACTTTCTCCGTCAGGTTGACCACCTTGAGTTAGAGAGCTTGGATCCAGCACTGAACATGCTGAAACAACAACAGCTAACATATTTTCCGAAGATTGTTTAAGTATTTTGAATTCAGTAAAACGTGAAGTTAAAATCCACGAATTTGTGATGACAAATCGTCGACCTGACCAATTAGTTGATAAACTTCCTTGACCTGCTACGAATTTATCAGAACGTTGATATTCAGAATTTATTGAAGATATTAAAGCTTTTATACTAAAACAAAAAATAGAGGTTAAAGTATGAAAGATTTTATAACGCACTTTAAAAAATGATCATCATTTTATAAGTGACGTAAAAACTCGAAAAACTGAGTGTGTTAGGAATTTATCTGCTATCTAAATAAATGAACTTATTCTTTATGTACTTTTGGGGATGAAGCATACTTCAAGTGGGAAGGTTAATAATACTACTAGGTAGTCCAAACCGAAGTAGGTGTAACAGGGCTCGAAGTCGGGACTAAGCGGCTGAAAATCGAGCATCTTAACCACTAAGCCACAGCTTCAACTGTTCACGAATACAATACCAATCTCGCTAAATAGGCAGGCTGATGTTATGTTAAGTTTTGAATACAACTTTTGACGGATGATCGGAATGGAGAATTTTATTGAGGTTACGAAATAAAACAATCTATTTCCAAAGTTAAAAATGCTATCATCAACACAGAAATAATAAGTTAAAAAATTAAGACTTCGTATTAAAGTGAGACAGACATCTTCAAGTTGGTCACAATGTATTTTAACCTGAAAGACTGGATTTATACTGAATTTCAATTGGACTGATATATATGGGTGATCATTTATAACATTGGAACAGTGTTCTCAAGTTAGCTAGGCAAACTTCGAATTTTATCATCCACTTCGATTTGTCACTTTGTTTACAAAAAACTGATGAGTAGTCAGTTAGGGAAATTACATCAATACATGGAGTCACTAATTATCGGTCTAATTCAAGGCGAGAAATTCAACGAAATATTCAATAGTTTGGAAAATGCCAGTAGCAATTGTAAAGCAGATTGATTTGTATTTCAATCAGACTGAAACAGCTTCATTCATACAGTGATATTTTGACGGGAATATAGGAGGAAGGCTTTTTTATAATGAATAAATGTGATATTATTTGTTTAGCACAATCATAAGCGTTGAGTCATAAGACAACAGTCATTTGAAAATTAGATCACAGTATATCAGCTGCATATCAGGTTAGTGGTGATCAGTTTTATCTTTCAGATTTATTTTTTTTTGTTTATTAATGAATTTCTTAGAATTTTTCTACACAATATGCTAATCAACGATGCTGAATCACGTTCAACTTAGTATATACAACGAAAAGATGAGATGATAGTTTTGATTTTTAAAGTATTTGATTAGTAAAATATTTCTGAGATAGTGTCATGTACGAGACATGATTATTTCTCTGAATGAGATTGCTTTCTTTAAAAATTTGTTTGTGGGTGCCTAGTATAAAGCATAATGTAACTCTATTTCATACTATTTCTGATAAGTTATCCCCTTATTCAAAGTTATTTGGTGACATGAATAAAAATCAATTGTCTCTACAGTCATTAAATTTAAAGAGTTAAACTGAACGCACATACCGAAGAAATCTTATACTTAAAACAAAATAATAAACTAGTGAGTATAATGTGATTCAGAACACGTTAAGGAATGACTGTCATAAATAAGAAGACTGATTAGTGTGAATGATTAAACAAATTATTTAAAGTATTTAATAGATACAATAAACCTGACGCATCTCCGATTTCATAATACTATTTTCCAGTATTGTAGACTGGAAAATATTGATATTATGAGATATATTTACGAACATTTACCTATATTTTATAATGCTTTTAGAATAGAGGATAAGACAATAGTAGTTTGTTTTTAAACGTCGGATTAATAATGAGGTTAGATGATATATAAAAGAATATTCAAATGGAAAACACACTCATTTCTACAGCTCTGTACTACGTCAATACACAACAAACTCAGTGAAAATCTTGATTCATCATGTTAAGGTAATTTGAACCCCAATATTAATTTATTTGGGTATCTTTTAGAGATAAGTTTTTCTTGAAGACAATTTCCGTCACAAACCTACATAATCTAATCAGGGGCTTTCAAGTCAGTAGATGCTGTTTTATGAAAAACTACAAGTTCGCCGCATCGTACCATTCTGCACAACTGAACCACTATTTTAAAGGTCAAAATATGGACAGTACATAAGGTTTTGAATAGTACAACAATTTTTTTAAATTCACCGGGTATACAGAAATATATCTGATGTAAAATATACTTACGCGACACTAAATGCGCCATTTGACAAGGATGATGATGCTGTAGCTGAAGATGACAATTGTGAATCAGGCAGTGATTCCATAATAATCCGTTTTAATGATAAAATTGTTGGATGACCATACCATGTACCAGATCCATACCAAACTAAATAAGTATGTGACCCGATGACAGTTAGACTGCCTATGCCAATCCATAAAATCACATCCCAAATTGTAAATGGAAATGAAATATTTGGAGCAGAAACTGCTACATTTTTGGACAAAAACTGCATGAACATAAAATACACTACAATTTAGAAAAAAATAATAAATATAAACAAGAAGAATAAAAATTGGTGAGACCATAATCTATGAACGACGTTTGAGCGACGCTAAAGTGATCATGAAAATGTCCACCTAAATGAGGGTTATAAACCAGTGTGAGGAATTAGGATTATGATTTATAGTTGATGGTTAGGATTAGGAACTAGATATAGGGTTTTTATCACGAACTGACATCAGCTATAATGCCAAAACGCTATTTAGCCTAATGGGTGGATGAATTTCGCGTCAAAATCCAATATCTGTTATCTTATATCTGATTGGTTTGTCCATAAATTATAATCTCGCCCAAAAATCTTCAAAATACTAATTATTAACATAGATTATTAAAACTAAATAAAGGCTATGACGGGATAAATACTGTGCATAGTTGAGCTTTCAGAACGGTCCTATATCAACTTAATGTTTGTAACCTTGTTGGATGACGATTAAATATTTAAACTATGGTATTTTATATTCTACGTGTAAACTTTTTCGTGATGCATAAACTATTATTATGTATCTTTATTAAGTTATTAGTACTTTACTATAGACACATTAATCCGTCCTCCATAGGCTTATGGTGTGATCGGGATTTGACCCTATATCGATGTATGAGTGAATTATAAATTCAAACTGTATAATTACAAGTTATCTGCCTGAAGTCTTGTGTTCTAATCTGGATACTGAGCGATCGAGTGCGAAAAACTAAGTTCTGGACGATAATCATTTTGTTATTCGCAGCTGTTATTTCCCTATCATTGTCACTGGTACTAGATGGACAGTTTTGGCAAAATAATCGAAACATCTGATTAGATCGATACGACTGCTACCCTATTTTACGGTTTGATCGTACAGGCCCCAAAAATAAGTAACAATAAAGATGTTTTATTTTTACTGTCATGTAAATAAATGTAATAAACGAAGTAAATTATTTTTCAAATGCATATCTGTGTACTCGGTTCCAAATTGTACTTGAATTACGTAAGTGCCAGTAAGGGTACGCAGCTATTTAAACAGAATAAACTGACGAGTTGCGACCCTTTACTCTGCTTGAAGCTAAATGCATTAACCATTAGTATACCGAATAATATATTTGTGACTGCTTTTCGGATTTAAGTATAGGTTGACATTGGTTTTCTAAAGACTATAAGTGGAAATCTTACAGATGTCTAGTTGCATTTGCTTTGAGCATATCATATTTTTGAATAATCTGCTAAAAGGAACTACCATAGAGGACAATTGGAAAGGAATCAAAGAAGCACTAACTTCAACGTGCCAGGAGGTTTTGGGTCGCAAGAAGCATCATCTTAAGGAATAAATCTCCATCGGAACCCTAGACACGATTCAAGAAAGGAAGAACAAGAAGATAGAAATTAACAACAGCCGAACAAGAACAGAGAGAGTTAATGCACAAGCTGAATACACATAAGTAAACAAGCAAGTGAAGAGCATTAGAGTTGACAAGCAGAAAGACGTGGAAGAACTAGCAATGACAGCGGAAAATCTGCAAGAAAAGGGAATATGGGATTAGTATACAATACAACGAAGAAACGAGTAGGGAAAAATTGTAAACCGAAGCGAGCACTCAAGGACAAAGAATGTAAGTTGGTCACTGAAATTCAAGAACAGAGGAACAGGTGTGTAAAACACTTTGAAGAACTCTTGAATAGACCAGTAGAACCTACAAATGTCACTCCACTAACGATCGAAGAAATCAGGAAGTGCATCAGACAAATCAAGTATGGCAAAGCAGTAGAACCTGACAATACACCAACCGAAGCACTTAAGTCAGACATAGAAGTAATTGCAAAGATACTCCATGTTCCATTCAAGAAGATTTGGAAGGAGGAACAAGTGCCAACAGACTGGAAAGAAGAATACCTTATCAAGATACCAAAGAAAGGAGATCTGAGCAAGTGCGAGAACTACAGAGGCATCACATTACTGTCAGTACCAGTAAAGGTTTTCAACTGAGTGTTTTTGAACTGGATGAAAGACTCAGTAGACACCCAACTTCAAGATCAACAAGCTGGATTCCATAAGGATCGATCGTGAACAGACTAAATCGCGGCACTACGGATCATCGTTCAACAATCAATTGGATGGAACTCGTCACTATACATCAACTTCCTTAATTAAGAGAAAGCATTTGACAGTGTAGATACGAGAAACTTATGGAATCTTCTTTGAGACTATGGTGTACCTGAGAAAATCGTCAATATCATGCGGAATACATATGACGAACAACAGTGAAAAGTCGTCCATGAAGGACTGTTGACAGACGCATTCCAAGGGAAGACTGCTGTCAGAGAAGGCTGTTTACTCACGTCCCTTCTTTTCCTTCTGGTGGCTGACTGGATTATGAAGACCTTGACGTCTGATGGGAAGCACGGAATACAATGGACATCTTGGATGCAACTAGACGGTTTGGACTTCGTAGATGACCTAGCACTTCTATCCCATATACATCAATAAATCCAGGTCAAGACAACCAGTGTAGCAGCAGCCTCTACATCAGTAAGCCTAAACATAGACAAATGATAAAGTAAGATCCTAAAATACAACATGAAGAACATAAACTTAATCACACTTGATGGAGAAACTTTGGACGAGGTGGAAACTTTCATGTACCTGGGCAGCATCATCGATGAATAAGAAGGGTCGGATGCAGACGCAAAGGCAAGGACTGGCAAAGTAAGGGAAGAATTACTACTGCTGAAGAGCATGTGGAACTCGAAAGATTTGTCAACCAATATAAAAGACGGAATTTTTAATACGAAAGTCAAAATAATTCTACTGTACAGAGGTGGAACTTGGAGAATCACCACAACCATCATCAAAAAAGTACAAGTATTTATAAACAATTCTCTACGCAAGATACTCTTTGTCCGTTGGCCGGATACCATCAGGAATAGCCTCCTGTGGGAGAGAACAAACCACGTTACAGTTGAAGAGGAAATAAGTAAAAGACGATGGAGGTTGATAGAACATAAGTTGCGGAGATCCTCAAAAGCATAAAGGAAGTGCTAACTTTGAATGCTGAATGGAAACGGGAAAGCGGAAAACGAAAGGACAAAATGCGCCGAGAATTGGAAGCAGACATGAAAAGGTTGAAAAGCGACTGGAAACAAGTGCACAGGACAGAGTTTGATGAAGGATGCTGCTGAGAGGTCCATGCTTCTCCACGAGGTAACAGGCGTAATTATGTTTATAGCAAATCACATTGGTTAGAGATTGTGACCATAGTACAAACCTGGATTATTTCCCGAGTTTTCACCATTACTTCAGTGCATAAATGCATTGTAATTCAGTTTCAAGCATCATCGATGAACAAAGAGGAACCGATGCAGACGCAAAGGCAAGGAATGACAAAGTAAGGGCAGCATTCCTACAGTTGAAGAACATATGGAACTCAAAATAACTGTCAACAAATATCAAAGTCAGGATCTTCAATACGAACGTCAAGATAGTTCTACTGTATAGAGCTGAAACTTAGACAGCTACTACAATCATAAAAGCACAGATATTTCTAAACAATTGTCTACGCAAGATAATCCAGATCTGTTGGCCAGACACTATCAGCAAAAACCTACTGTGAGAGGAAATAAAGGAACTTCCGTCCGAAGAGGAAATTAAGAAAAGACGTCGGAAGAGGGCAGGACATACATTGAGGAAGTCATCGAACTGCATCGTGAGGCAAGTGCTAACTTGGAGTCCTGGAGAGAAACGGAAGACCAAAGAACGCCGAGAATCGGAAGCAGACATGAAAAGGATGAATAGTAACAGGAAAGAATTTCCCCAGACAGTGTTCGATGTAGAATGCTGGTGGGTGGCCTATGCTTCTCCACGAGAGGGTCCGAGAGACGGTGTAACACAGTGGCTAGAGACGTTATCAGATATGGCTCAGAATAGAAGCCAATGGCGATCCTGCTGTAACCTTCTTTTACTTTCTTCATAAAAAGTGGTTGCTTCTTCCTTAACTGAAAGATTTCTTCTGATTGTACCTTTCCGTTTCCCCCATCATTGTTCGCTCTTTTTTTTATAATTCCCCACGTTCATTACCTTTTTTTCTCCTTCTCTTCAAATTATCATTGTTTTGTGTGGCGCATATATATTTGGTGCCCCCTTGTACCAATATTTATGTGTTCAAATAATAATAATAAATAATAAATACGAGGGGCAGCAGGCGTAAGTGATTGAAAGAATAACGTACAGACTTGTTACATATGGAAATAGTAACTAGTGTATAAACGAGCTTCCATTGACTAAATGACTTTTGGTATCTCCAGTTTGTGCTAACTATTATACAGAGGGAAACAACACAATAACCTTGACAGAGATACTTGATAACTCTATTTAGATGTTTAAACTTATTGCATACCAATCTATAATTTAATGCATGAGCGGGTCGTACGTCCAGACCGCTTATTCTGTCTTAGTTGAGAAGCCATACTTAAAAATAAATGTATTGACTCAAATTCAAAAGCATTTTGTCCACGAAGCTAAACTATCATCTAACACCCTTTACACCAAATAAAATACGTCTTAAAAGTTACCATATAAGACCAAATACCCACTACATTAATGTAAATAAAAACGAAGATAATTAAACTTACGAAAGACCAATGACGATGAAAATAATCGTATCATCACAGTTCTTTTTAAATGATACTGTACAAAGTATAGACTTTCATTACCAAGAAATCGATTAAACAAATTCTCTAATGTTACACCAGCAGAAATAAACTCTGTAGTCGGTGCCATAATGCAAAATACAAGAAGTCCAAATAGTAACGTATACAGAACATCAAATGAATCAAATGTTGAACTAATGAATAATGTATCCATTATCGACAAGGTGGCACTGTCACTATTCACCTTACTGTATTATATTATAATCACAACAGATAATGTAAGTAAACTAATGAGATAAGACAGGCATTAGAACAAATTTAAAAGTCAACTTCAGTTAATGATACATCTAATATCACCCACAAAATTGTATGAATTCTTCCTCAGATAAGAAATCTAGGAGAGAAAATACGTTTTATGAGTTGATAGACAATAAATTCACTTTTAAAAAAACATGATCTTGACCTACAAAACTTAAAAGAATTTTTGGGGCGCAAATACAGAATTGAAGAGATAATAAATAATCATGATAATATTAAACCTTATGAAATAAACTATTTGGTAGTAAGTTTTTATTAACTTTAATACACGGTTCCAAACAAGTGATGAGTTAAATAAAATCTGAACGCTAAACATGCTTTAAGTATCAAAAGCTCGTCAATGTACAGTAAATAGTTAGATTTATTCAAACCCTGAAAAGTTGAGTCGGGAGTTATCTCGAACTAAACCTAGCTTTATGTTGCAGAAATTTTAAAAGGAATAGGGTTCGCTTTGGATTTGCCAATTTGTCACTAATAAGATGCTTGACTGTATTAGATGTGTGGTGACAGAGAATCTATTGTACTAATTGACGGATGTTAGTCGGGTTTTAACGGGCGAAAGATACGTACGAAGTAGATATTTGAACATAAATGCCTTCTGTTTGAAGATAAGCATGTAGATATAAACCAAATGCCCTGGTACGGCCGAGAGTGGGGAGAGTCCGCTCTCCCTCTCCAAATGCTCTCACATGGCCATGCGTACATAGCCTCTGCCAGGGAAGTCCTACTCACTGCCTTCACGTGGCACAGGTGTTGTTTACGAAAATGAGAGGACGGAAAGCGAATGTCCGGTGCTTTAACCGGATCCCAAACCAATGGTGCACATGGGCTAGCTCCAGTATCCTGAAGGAACAAATGGCGTATGAACCGATCTTTGGTCACCGACTACCATGGGACTGCATCTCCTCACGATGCTCCACTGCCTTGTGGGTCAGACGTTCAGGTCGAAGGCTCGGGGTGTGGCCCCCTAAGAAAACCACCTGCTTCGGTTTGGGAACCCGAGCAGTATCACAGCCCTCACACAAATCAATTGAGATTCGTGTGGCGCATATGTACTTGGTGCTTCCCTGTACCTATACTTATGTGCTAAAATAAAATAATCATATGTACTAAAAACAATCCTAGTATATAACAGTCTAATGTGCACTACCAACATAATAATACACTAGATTGGACTGTATGTTGTCAAACAGATAACACTGAGCAAGTCCAAATTAAGCAATTTAATTTCTAACATACATGTTAATTAATTACGACCAGAATAATGACCAAAAACTTATGTGATTGCCACATATATGATTGTGCAGTTTTAGCCTTGTCTCTGTTACACATCTAAGAACAATCTTACCAAATGAAATTGCAGGTTTTTTGAGGACATGTTTTGCGGCCTCACACGCTTAGTGTCCTTAATCTATGCTGAGGCTGATTCCGTTGAGTAAGTATGCAAAAGAAGGGGAATAAAATGAAACACTGCTTATGGTCAGAAAGTACATATTTAGTCTACAAGACATCTACATGCGACGCAATGGAGACTGGTATTTCTGTATTCCAAAGTTTTATAGAAAATTACATGTGATATTGACAAAGGTTATCTCAAGTGAGAAAACCTTAACGTAGTGTCCGCCTTACCTACGTAAGAAACGGTAGTGCCTAGTGCACGACGAATGAAGTTGAACAGGGTTGTATCTCCCAGAACAGATCAAGAGCCTGCATTTATCAACGAAAGTTGGGGATTCATTGGCTAATCAGAAAATACATAGTATTTAAGTGGGTTTCGGCTTATCCTTATACTTTGTCTAGTATCTAATGAACTACGAATTATTGTCAAGACACGTATTCCGTGAGATCGACTGCTAGTTTTATGACCGCTGAAGAATTAGAAACGTTCACATTGGTAGCTCTTCACATAGCACCATTTTGATGTCCCAATAATCCACTTGTTTGAGATAGCTGGTAATATAAAATATCAGGTAGTTGAAAAAGTGAATATAGACAAACGATCTACCTGGATTACGACTACAAAACTTGCGAACGTACCTTGCGAATGATCCAAGTTCCAGAACTTCAGTGGGCCGTTAAGGGTAATGAGTGATCGCATCATTAGGTACTGAGTATTAGTATTTCCAAGGTGTTCGCAAGAATTTCTAGTCATAATTCAGGTAGGTCGGATTTTCACATTAACTGTGAAAATCCGATGATTGTACTTCAGGTATCGAAATCATATATATTACTCCATTAACTTGAAAACGAAGTGATTAGTTTGTACATGTATCCCGTTATGTATTAATCTGTTGTAGCGGTTCTCACCTAGCCAGAAGGTGCTTTGTATACTAAGGGAGAATATAGTTACGTGAATACGGAAAGATGGAAAATGATGAGGAAAGGGAAACCAACGGCCTAGCAAGTGCACACAAACGCACTTACATCAAATATGGAAAATGATATGCAATAGCTAGCAATAATACAGGACTTAGATTAAAACAGACTGGAAATTGAGACTGTAAGCAAACAGTTCAAAAAACCGACGAATAGTCGTCAGTTGAAAATTGAGCCATTTTGACTGAACATTTTTACGAGTAGTTAAATAGTTATCGGATCCTCTTAATTTCCCACATTCACGCACGCATATAGTTGTTAAATAGATCATTTATGTGAATGATTGTTTCCACTGTTGTTCATTTTTCTTCACTTTTCCTTATAATCTGTCTTGATTACATAATACAATTCGATACTTCATACTTTTAATTCGATTTTTACGCATTGACTTCGTTACTGATCAGAATCTGTCGTTCTAACTCAGTAGTAAGTGTTGAAAAAGTCCGTGTGTATCGAGATATGCTCGTGCTTGGGTAAGTAAGCAAAGCGTGAGAAGAAAAAAAAACCAGCATATATTTATATATTTTTTACGTAACATCCAAAAAACTACATACAGACAGGTTTTGCGGAGTGTATAATAAGTATGTTCACATGCATAAGCATAGTAAAAATGTTTGTCACATATTTTAAAAACTTTGACTTTCATCTTCAACACAAGAATTAAAAATGTAAGCGAAATAGGAAACGAGAAGAAATTGATGAGATTATGAAATATTTTACATATAATAGTCTTTTAGATTTTTTTATGAACCTCAAGATTATCCTGGAGCACCGGTTATTGGACATCAACAAAGTCTGGTTTTGATCCTTGGTGATCAGTGTGCAGGGCAGCAATGGGTAAATCCAAATTCAAACTGGTATCCACGGCCTTACCTGGGTGGGAGTAGTTTGAAACCCATCGTAAAACGGCCAACGCGTTAACAGATAAGAGTATCCACTTGGATCTGGTAATTACCCACCACATCATGATGAACGTGGTTGAAGAGAGCATCAAGAGTTGTAAGTGAGCCTAACAGAATTTATTGTGCCCAATCACATTAGGTTTCTGGCAGCTTGCTTTTAGTGTTACATGTGTATAGGTACCTATTCCACAGAAAGGTCGACGATGTTCACCACTATGGCACCGTTCGTTACTGTTTTTACGGACCATATGCAGAGATGTCCATGGGCTTTACGATGCCTGGATAGTTCCTGAACCTATCATGTGATCGAACATACTTTTGGTAGGACTTACCTGTTCATCAGCTAAATGTACTTTTCGAGAATATAGGTGGTCCTGCAGTCGTAATGTGGTGTGCCACATCGCTGGTTACACACAGTAATTCCAGTCGTGCTTTGCGCAGTCCGGGATACCAAATATGTATCAGTCGGAAATATGGATTGATTACATGTTTAGTTGTGGCCGAGCACAATCTACAGCCAGAGAACAAAACTCCACGAACAGATGATTTAATGCTTCCGTCTTCTTATCTTCATTTGCCTTGGACGAACAGTAGGTTAGTTTTATATAAGGTCTATATCAATGACTGCCATTGAAAAATCTCATACAACAATCGTCCAGTAAATCGACTTGGGTAAACTCATGTTGAGGTGTAGTGCTCGTGTTGTGTTGAGCCCACACGGATTATTATAGCTTCCAGACAGACTCTTTTATTTATTCATCTTGAATCACATTTTAACCTAGTCAACTATTTGTTTTTGACTTTAAATGATTTCTGTGAGAGTACTTGTGTCCATCGCCTGCCCTATTCACCAAGTATCTATATGTTATTTTTATCCAGCTATAAATATTGAGTTGCGCTTTTTAAAGTTGAGTTGGAGCACTTGCCTTCTCCGGTTTGCTACTGTGCTTCGTTTCTTTGATTGTCTCTCTGGGTCAAGTGTATCCAATATACGTGTCCAAAGTTTAGTATCCAATTTGTTAATATTATTCCCTGATTTACTAAAGCGAATAAACTCGATAATTATGTACAAAGATAGTCGAGATTTGTATTTCGTTAACAATATCTTTCGGTGAAATTACACTCGGGCTAGTGATCCACTAAAATGGTTAACGTCTTAGGGTTTGAAGACACTTGTTGTCTTAACACCTTCACAATCGAAAATCATTAAGCCAGCCAAACCGGAGGTTAAGAATGAAGGACGTAGAAGACAAATTTGAAAATAGTTGATATGTCGAGAGGTGTGTGATTTAGGTTGGTTTATTGTTGCCAGGAATGCGCAGCATGATGCATTCAGTAGAGATCTGGTCTGGATCGGTGACCAAAGCCTTTATCTATAGTGTATCCAGTAGAACTAATGAGTTCAGAATTAATGCCGAAGACTGACGGAACCATTTATTTTCTATGGAGTTATTTACCTCCGAAAACGTATTGAAACCATCCCGGTATATACCGGTAAATTTAACGGAACGTATACAATTAATTTCTTCAAGCACTGTGATGTAATTACTTTGAATATGGTGGAAAGTTTATTTGTCGATTACCTTCATCCTAACGAACTTGGTGGTAATTTAGATAAGAATTTATTTTTTATCGAGACACATAGGTTATCGTAGACTGGTGTTTGTTACGTTCAAACTTTGCTCGAATCTGTCGTTAAATGACGGTCGATTGATTAACGACTCCGAATGACAACATAATAAAATCCCAGTTTATGTACCA